CTTCGGAAGCTTTAGAAACGTCCTCGCCCTGTACATCAGCTTCGGCTTCGTCAGTTGCAAATGCACGCAAGCCTTCGAACAGCCTGGCGGGGTTGGCAGCTGCTGCCTGGTGGGCACGAAAAACGGGCAAGGTGAGTCTTTCATAGAAGAGACAATCACGTGATGGGACGATTTGGTTGGAGCGAAGATAAAAAATCTTCCATGCGTGATACTGTTTTTCGCCGTTCGGAAAATTTTCCGAACGAGAAAATTTGCCGAGTGCTGCAGTTGGAGGACGAAACTGTACGACACACCCGAAAACTCGTAAAAGTTTGGTACTGCCCACTGTACGTGTCCACTGCAGGTGTGGAGAAGAGAACTCGGGCAGGGATGTTGAAGAAAGAAGGTTGTGTAAAAGCACGGCGTGGTCCATCGCATACGGCCCAAAACGAGGAGGAAGAGCTGCCTGCGTCAGAAGAGCACGCATCTTCTCTTGCAGAGTTCGGTTCATCCTCTCTGCTACCCCCATCTGTTGGTGTGCACGCGGCAGTGACTGCTTCCATTTGATGCTGAGAGTCTGAAGGTATTCTGTGAAAGTGTTGCTGGTGTACTCCCCGACACCATCACTCTGAATTCTTGCAGTTTCACGCCAGACTCTCTTTCAGCGACGGCGAGCCATGCGACGGAATGGGCGAGATACCGAGTGGGAAGGTTTGTTGTCCAAACGTAGCGTGTAGATGCTTCGATGAATGTTATCACATACTGCTCGTCTTTAGGTCCTGCTTCAGGTAAGTTTAGTATGTCGCTGTAGACTTTCTGCATCAGTTTATAACGTGTTGAGCCAGGAAAATGACTTGGAAACGGATCGTGCGTAAGGTTGGCAACCGGACACGTGGTGCAAACCATGGGACGGGACTGCGGCTTCATCTCCGTGCCGTCAGGTAAAAGAAGACTGTTTTTATCCAGAACTGCTGCTCGTATTGAATGATTAAGAATCCCCTGCGATGGATGTCCTAACCGCTGATGCCAGATATCTTCTGGGGCTTTGTGTCATGATGATCGCAGGTAGAAATCGGCGTTAGTATAAAACGAAGAAATAATAAAAGGAGAAAGCGTTGGTGACCTGTCAATCTCTCCTTCGATGAAACGTGTAAGTGGTAACGGAACATTTGAAGGTGTTGCTGCAGTTGCGATTGCAACTTCTGATGCTGCTTCTGTTGATGTTGTGGCAGGTGTTTCTGCTACAACTACTGTTGCACACGGCTGCTCGGCGACTTCTTCCTTTTCGGCTTCTTCAACGACGTCAGGTTCATCAGCTGCAAGTCCACTAGTTTCTCCCCAAAGTGGAACTGGAGTCCCTTGAAGAGCCTCACGAGTAGTGTAAAATGTTCGCCAAGCATTAGCGCCGGCATCAGCGGTACTAAACTCCCAGGTATCCAATGCGGTAAGTACGGTGGATGCAGTTCGAGAAGTCGTTGGTACAGTAGTTGCTCGAAAGTCAATATCCACGTGCTGATAATATGTTTCTTCTGGGTGATCCTAGGGACCAAGTGCAAGGACGTGTTCAAAATCTCCAGAAGTTCCCTGTGCCGCGAACTGAAGTACGGATACGCCATGCTGAGTGGTGGCACGCCCAAGGTAAGTATTTGATGAACTGTGCCATAACTCCTTATCCATTGTAACACAGTTGCCTTGAGTGCGTATTTTGTGTGCCAGGAGCTGAGCCATGGAGAGAAGATTGAAGCCAAGCCCAGCGACGATAAGAACATTGGTAACGTGTAGTGAATATCCCGTGTCGATTGATTCGAGCATGACACTCCCAACAGATCGTGCCATAATAGTTTTTCCGTTTGCGACTCTGACAGGTATCGGACAACGAAAAGGACGCTGGTTGGTGATGAAGCTTGTTTCAGTGGAACACATGTGCCAACCGCAGCAGCTGTCGAGATACCAAGTATTCGGACCTGAAATTATTCGAGCAAGGTTAGCGTAAACTTGAGGTAAGGGAATGCCTTCAGCACTTGTGGTTTCTTCAAGTCGTGTCTCGAAATCTGTTTCTGAAACATCAACTGTGGTAATACATCCAAAGACCCCTTTCCCTGATGTTGCAGATGCAAAGACCGGAGGACGATGCTGTGACGGAGACAGATTCTGCGGAATTTTCGGCATCTGCTGCGTTTGGGTCGTCGACTGTTGCGCGGGCTGATGTGGCTTCGGTAACTGCTGCGAGCGATGATAAGGCTGTGAAGTGCTGCGTCGGTTTTGATGTCGACTACGACAATTCTGGTAAGTGTGTCCTGGTTTCTTGCAAAAATGGCAGAAGGGATATTTCGGGGGATGACGATGGTGCGATTCTGGATTTTAGTAAAAACTCAAGTGTATCCCCTTTTTCTGATTGCGTTGTGACTGCAGGTCGAGATCTTGCTGTTCTGCTTGAAGATACGACCAAATTTCAGCTTCGGAGAGGTTCGGGTTCATGCGCAGAAAGGCGCACGTCTGTCGTCATTCGGGTCCAAGGCCAGCAAGAAGGACCGTGAGATACATCTCATGAGGGAAGTATCCCCCACTTTTATCCAGTTGATCTTGTAGTGTACGGACACGGTTGACGTAATCCATGACGTTCTCGTTTGTCATCATCTGCACACTTGTCAACTGCGAAAGAATCTTACTCAATGTTATTTTATCTTTTGCCATGTATACCCCCTTCAAGTGGTTCCATGCAGTTTCAGCTGGTGTTAAGCTTGAATGAAACGATCGGACACCAAGTTGCTCCTTCGGCGACAGGTTCCGTACAAGAACAGTATATGCCCCGAGAGAGGCGTGCAAGAAACTCAGCTGCTCTAGTTGTGTTCCCGTAACAGGATACATAAACTCGCCAGTGAAGAAAGGCCATAGCCCAGCGGACTGCGCAAGAAGCTCAAATTCGAAACTCCAGGAGTAAAAATCCACTCTGTTAAAAGGTATGGTTGTCTTGATCTATGTACTGTTAAGCAAATTTGGCAGTTGAAAAATAATACCCGGTTGTTGAGGCTGTTGCTGTTGCTGCTGTTGCTGTTGGTGCTGTTGCCGCTGCTGAAATTGCTGTGGCTGTTGATGCTGTTGTTGTTGTTGCTGAACAGGGGAACGCCCGATGATGTAAAAGGGATGCTGCTGCTGCTGTGACTGCGGCTGTTGCGCAAAAGGTGAGAAAGCAAACGAACCAGTATTTGGAGCTGTGGCTCCACGCATGTAACTCGAGTCGTCAAGGCTCATTCCACTGAACGCTGAAGATATAGACTGAGTTGAAAACTGTGGTTCTGCTGATGCCTGTTGCTGTACTGATGCCTGTTGTTGTGCTGTTGTCTGTGTTTGTTGATGTTGTGCTGCAGGGGCAGTTGATGACATCCCTGGAGTACTGACAGTAGCCGTATTCTGCTGCTGCTGCTGCTGCATACCGATATGCGCATAAGCCGGTGGAAACGGTCCAGAGGCTGAGAGACCAGTGGCGGTCGTGGAGACATGTACTCCAGTAGTTCCGGAAGTTGATCCGGCAGATGGTGCTGGTGATGAACCTGTCATTGTTGACAGTAGTCTTAATTCCAGATAGCTCTCATACCATGAAAAAATTTGAAAGGTGTTGCAGAAGACTAAGTATAAAATCTGCAAACACGAACACCTGGAAAACCTCAAGTGTTAGCCTAGGATCTTTACTGGAACGGTAGACTAGTAAGACAGCGGAAGTCTTGTAAGAGTGAACCTGAGTATATGTTTCTGCAGAAGTTAAGTCTCAAAGTTGAAATCTCAAGGTTAATAATAAAAGGGACACAACAAAGATTTATAGCTCTAGAAAAGTACCTATTCGCTAATGTACATGTTCGTCACTATCGCGCTACGCGCCCTAGATGATAATGAAGAGGTGCGACTATTCGCGTGACTGAAACGACTGTCATATGACGAGCGCTATTTGCTGACGTCATCCTACGAACTTATCTTCTACAGTAGGATTCGACACTATCTATCGATAAACGACTTACAGAAATGCTATGTATGAAATATACCACAACATGTTCAAGTGGTTGTACCCTCTAAGAGCATGCACATATCTAGTCTATTATAATATATACAAATATATTTGACAATAACTTCTATATACAAATATATGTATAAGTTGACACAAAGATCCTTTCTCTAGTCTTGAAGTATGACAAGGCTACAACATTTATTCAAGTGTTACAACTTGCTAAAACTGGCTGTTATTGGAGGTACTCCCAATATTACTTTCTACTTCAACTACTTGTGTCTGCACATTCTATGCTTAGTCTTCTGCACCGTTTTACAATTTATAACACAATTTTGGGGGGTGCACTATGCGGGGGACTGGAAGTGTCTCACGCAACAAAATTACGGCCCAAAATCCAACACTGGAATCATAACTGCTTGCGAAACTTTGAGAACCCGACCCCCACCATCCACGCCCTCAAAATTTGGTGGGCTCAAACCAAACGTAATACAGGTCCACAGAAATACGAGACTCGAAGCCTCGTCAAAGTTGGACCTGCCACGAATTTCAAATTTGTCGCAACCCCCGCCCACTCTCTTTCAAAATTCCGTCCCTCACCCCCCAATCAGACCCTCCCACCAAAGGTATGGGCTGGAAGGCATGTCAACTAACATATTGTTTTGTCTACACATATCTACTTAGTTTAGATAGGTTTGTTATAGCCTAGCTAGGTCAGTTCTTAGAGGAAAACATTCTTGTACTTGTATCTCCCCTCCCCTCTTGCTAGTCACAAAATTTCCCGCTACTCTAACAAGGCACCCATATAGTATATCCTAGGTGCCAATCTGTATCAATATATCTGCTTCCATTACAATAGGCACCTGACTAGCTAACCCAATCCCTATATCGTGTGCACCATTGATTGCTTTCCCGAACCTCGTGCTTCGGAGTGACCTCTCCGAACCTAGACGTAATGCTCTGTTTCTAGAATCCAGAAACAGGGGCCCCACTGCCATTCATTTCCTCATTCAATTCTCTAGTCATTCAGTCGTTTTGTACGGAAACTAATATGCTTTGATAACACCCGTGCCAGTTTTGTTTTCGCGCTTTCAACCAGACTCGACGTTGAGATTTTCTTGCATTTCGCGGCGGAATAGGGCTAAACATGGGAGGTCTATCGCACAGCAGCATTTTATCATGCCTTCTGCTCGCCGTCCTCCTTCCTTGTCTGTCAGAAGGTGCGACACGAAAGTCCAGCGTCTAAGTCTGCGATGCCATTTCTAGGCGGATCTACTACTGTCAAATCAGCATAAGGTCGCTCCCTGGTTGCGGAACGGTCTGATATCGTGTTCCAATCCAGCGAAATGTATGCGGCTGTCAGCGCAATCCCACCTTCTGTGAAGCTCTCACCTTATCTTTGCAGGCTTAGTTTCATGTACGCCGTCCGAAACCAAGGATGCCTCGTTTATGTACTCGACGTTGCACATCCCTGTGTGTCGACACCAGCCGCGGTGGTTCGGCTTCAGCGCTTCAAACCCTTCATTCCGGAATGCTCTTCGCTGCTAATCACTCCATACTGTTCCTTCCCCTTCTCTTCCTGCCCATTCCATGTGTCCCCACACCAGCCGCGGTGGTTCGGCTGCAGCGCATCAAGATCTTTCAGACGCACGACCTGCCGTTCTGGAAGCCGTCGGTGTACTTCCAGTGCGAGGGAGAGCCCAAGCGCCAGCTGGACGTGGTAGTTGAAGCGAACGTGGACTACAATTTCACTATGCATGAGCCCTTCCAGGTGGGTAGAATCTCGCAACTGAACAGTGATTGATTGGGTTGGTGGGGTGGAAGATGGGTGTGGGGGGGGTTGGGGGGCTGTAATGGTTGATTGGGCTGCTGGCGAGGAGCATGTGTGTGTGGTGGGGGGGGGGTGGGGGGGGGGAGGGGGGGTTCCTCTGTTCCACTCTATGGCCTGCTGACCAGCGGTGACGGTTGCCACTTGCGAACCGGTCAGTGTTTCGTTCAGCGTATTCATGCCCCTCCTTCCGCATCTGAGGTCCTGTTGATGGGATTTCTTGTTTTTGTTGTTTTTGTTCACACATAGTGAGGATGGCTTCTGAATGCTGTGGTTATGACGAGGATTGGATTCCTTACCCAAGTCCTGCACTTTCCTCATTTTATGCCTCTTCGCGTTTTGCAGCCCCTGACAGAGCTCACGGCGCCCAAATGCAAGCAGTGCGGGTTCTACGACGCCGACACGTTGACAGAGGATGACGCGTTTGACCGCTTCACCCTGTGCCCTCTGGACTTCACTCCCGCCCCCTCTGGCCGCCTGAATCGCCTGGTGGAGAGCGAGCTGAACGTCACCTTCGTCTGCCTGCACTGCAACCCGGACAGAACGTCGCGGTCCTCTGGAGGTACGCGTCTCCCTGTGCTGTGCCCCCTGGGCTTCACTCCCACTCCCTCTGGCCGCCTGAATCGCCTAGTCAAGAGCGAGCTGAATGTGATGTTCGTCTGCCTGCACTGCAACCCGGACAGAACGTCGCGGTCCTCTGGAGGTATGCACAATGGTTCTTCATCTTGACTGGAAGGCAGAGTAGTGTAGCTAACGGTTGCTTTTTGTGCTCTTGGTGGGTGATGCGTTTGTTGGCTCAGGTGTGAAAAGGATAGGTGTTGGACTGGCTATTCCATGGATTCTCCTTCCCTAAAAGCATGTGGTTTCTCTTTATCCCCCCTGGTCTACCCCCCTACCCTCATCCCCCCACCCCTCCCTGGCTTCCTCTCGTCTCCCGTCACTCGACAGATGAGTTCGAGGGGACCGACACCAACAATGTGAGTCTACTATACGTCTTCCTCCTAGTGATTGGGGTGGTTACCGGCATCACTTGCCTCACTGGCCTTGTCGCATTTTGGCTGAAATCGGGAGCGTGGCCTCTCTTCAGACGACGGATGGACAGCGACACAGCAAAGTTTATGGAGATGTTTGACGAGGAGGATGAGCTCCTGGATGGGGATGATGGTAGTGGTGAAGACATGGAGATGGGTGAAGCAGGTGGAACGGCCAGTTCGTCGCCACCATCAATGACTTCTGCATCAAACCGGCATGGGTCTGCTATTCGGCATGACTAAGCTTTGCGCCGATCTTCCTAGGTGGTGAATCTAGTTGATGTCAATGTGTTATAATAACCCATTTTGTACTTCAACCGTTTTAGGATGTGCTGTATGTCTTGTGATTGTTGTTACTGTCGCGTGGCTAGGCTCGGCGGACCAGCTGTCTCGCTTATTTGCCACGTCAACTGGCAACCTCCCCACCGCCAGCCTCCACCTCACGAGTAACGAGTCGCAAATCGCGGCATGCGAGGTTCACACGAGTTCAGCGGAATCAAACCGCCAGACATTGGCATCTTGGGAATCTCCCAGAGACCCAGCTGAAGCCTGGAACTGGACTGGACATTGACCGTGAGCTGGTTCCAGTGAACCTGGAATATCCTCTCAACTCATCCCATCCACATGCAGCAAAATGCCTTGTCAAATTTGACTCATGCCTGAAGATGCCTTGATGACATCCAGCAAGTTGAGCGTTCCTGACAGCGTGTGTTGCACTTAGCTGCAACTGGAGAAGCGTTTTTCAGTGATAGATAAGGAACTTTGAGTTCCCTTGCCGGTGCCCAAGCACGTCGACTTGACCGTTTGACAGCGCCTGGAAGTGCCTGCATTATTGGATCAGTGCATAATTTCACTGGCTGGGCTCTAACGACGTCCTGGAGTTGCACAAGTTCGAGTTGTGAGCTCCACCCTATACTTCCTTCCTAAAAGGCTATTCGTGTCGGTCTTGTCCTGCTGGTCATGCCGCCGGTTGGGATGGAAGAGAGCCTATCACCTCCGCCTTCGCCGCCGAAGAAGGACTTGAGAGTGATCGAAGTGTACAAGCCCGGTTCGTTTGATCCGGCCTCACATTTCTATCCGCGAGTGCTGAATGCACAGATTCACCCTCTTGTGAGGTCCTTCCTTGGGCTTGGAAACGAGAGGATCGCGAAGAGATATGTTCACCTTCATCCTGCAGCAAAACCAGAGGCGGTTCAAGCGGCACTTTCGTATGCGTGCAAGTGAGTCGTCGGTGTAGACACGAAAAAAAAAATCACTGTGTGAAAAATGTCATATTCACAACAAGCTCTTCTCGTGTGCAGGTATTTTCAGTGGGGTGGAGCTGACTTGTTCTCCGTGACAACTGAGAAGGGTCAGAAGCGCTTCGTTGTCATTGAGACGAACTCATGTCCTTCTGGACAGAAGTCCATGCCTATGGAGAATGAAGACCTTGAGCACGCCGGCTACAAGACTCTGCTAGAAAAGGCGTTTCTTCCGGTGCTGAATTCTGGCAAGTGGAATGGAGAGAAGATTCCGGAGGGAATTCTGGCGGTTCTGTATGACAAGAATCCGATGGAAGCGTCAGGATATGCAGCAGCGTTGGCAGATCTCACAGGTGAACAGGTGTACCTCACTCCCTGCTATGCTGATGAACCACAGCCAAATTGGAGGTGGCGTCCGGATGGAGTTTTGGAGATCAACGTCGCTGGAGCTATCCAGAAGGCTCAGAAGGAGGAAGTGCCGATTGTCATGACAGGAGCGAGGGTGTCACGTACGAGTTCGTCCTCCAGCGAAGGCAAGCAAGAATCCTTTCCATCAAAATCCGAAGTTCCAGAGCCACAGTGGCGACAGGTCAGAGCTGCGATCAGATACGTGACACAGCGGCCATGGACAAGGATACCTCCCCTGACGCGGACGATGATTTTCAATCCTGTCCTCGCGTGTTTAGCTGGCGGACGTAACAAGGCAGTGGGAGCGAAAGCGTACGATCTTCACAATGCGGCGCTGGCGTCAACTGGACTGTCTATCCTTACTCCTGAGACCATTTGGGATGTCGCCAAGCCAGAGATTCCCCTATGGGTCGGCAGAATGGGTGGCTTGGCTGTTGTGAAGGTTCCGTATGCCAACGCAGGTCAAGGCGTGTGGACAATCACTAACGACGAAGAGCTGAAGGAGTTCATGGCCATCGAGCAGCGCTATGACCGCTTCATTGTTCAGGTACTTGGGAGAATTTAATTTCATGGCTTTTCGTCCCAAGCATTTGCGTTCAATCTTTGGCTGGATTTTTCCATGTCCTGCAAATTGTGAATGACTACCTTCTTTTGGGTAATTCTCATCGCAGGCCTTGATCGGGAACAATGGCTGGAGTTCTCAGAGTGTGAGTGGCAGGCTGTACCACGTGGGGACCATTCCGACAAGCAAGGGCAACATCTACGCCTCTGACCTGAGGATGATGGTGGGGTCTGGAGCAGGTGGCTTCTTTCCAGTGGCAATCTATGCACGGAGAGCCAAGCTTCCACTTGCCGAGCAGCTTGAGAGTGGGATCCACTCATGGGACATGCTTGGAACAAATCTCTCTTACAAGGTATAAGTCTCTGACTTGCTTGGAACCCTTTTTGCAGCTAGTAGTCTGCTGTACTGCAGCTAACTCAGCATAATGTCTTTGCAGAATCCAGATGGGAGTTGGGGTACGGAGACAGACAGGTTGCTGCTGATGGACAGCCGAGACTTCAACAGGCTTGGTGTTGGAGTGGATGACTTGATCGAGGCCTACATGCAGGTGGGATTTTTTCAATTGCAGAGCGTTTGACTGATTATGAGGCTTGCACCTTCTAAATATTCTTGGTGCATCCTGCAGACCATCCTGGCTGTGACTGCTATTGACCGGCTTTGTGGAAAGCTAATCACACCCAAGGTATGAAACTGCTACAGTATTTTCCTTACGGATCCTGGAATGGCTCTTCAGAAGATAACTGTTCTGATGTGTGCATTTTACAGGGAAATTTCGGGTTGAAGCTTTTTGGATCCTTGAACCCTGACACCAAGCTTCTGGACGAGCTGTACACGCTCCCACTGCATTCTCTTCCTGTGGAAGGTATCAGCGAGACTTCTTGCCTGGTAAAACGGGCTGCAGATCATGCAACAGAACAAGAAGATGCTCTGGCACAAGAGCTTCAACTGGAGGTTACAGTTGCAGCACCTCGGGTGAGTGATGTTTTGGATTTCCGAAAGGGGGGAGCGCTTCAGTGCTTATATCACCTTGTCCTGATGTTTGCCTTGTCTTTGCAGGGCAAAAGAGGGAGGATTTGAAGCCCCCACTATCTTCCGGGTCATAACACATGGTGCACTAGCATATTACGATATCACACAATTTTGGCCTCTCCCATTCGTAGTGTTTGTCATCAGCCCCATCAGGATGGCCTGCTGCATGCATCTTAATCTCCACATTTTGTTAGCATATGATACGATGTATAAACCTCCATTGTCTGTGCTTATGTTGGAAAGGCATTTTACCAACCAATTTTCAAGGCGTGGATCATGGTGGGGGCTAGTCAAATGTTTCAACAATTGTGGTTATTTCTCTGCAATCTCCGAATTGTAAAAGTAACAGGTTCTCTTTGCACACAACCTCGTACATTTCTAAGATGACCAAATTTCGCTTCCAGTATTGTTACAGGTCGAAGGAGCTAAGCACATCACGACCACTTAACCTAAAAACTCCTTAGCGGGGACGGGATCTTTGCTACATAACCACTTCGTCAGGCAGCGTCGTAGGCGGGATCGTCGAATCTGGCGACCGGCTTTCGGCTCGAAGCTCGCGATGAAGCATCGCAACGCTTTTCGCAAGCTGGGTCGCGCGAGCAGCCATCGATGGGGATTGCTCCGGTGAGCCGTAAGAGGAGGTGATATATCTCAAGCTAGGAAGAAGGGTGAGGTATATCAAGCTAGGAAGGAAATTTTATCGACGCGGTACGGAGCACGAGAGGAGTGACGTGGTATGGAGCAGCCTAGGAGGCAGATGATCAATCGGTTTCTAGGTAGGTTAATGGTAAGGAGCGATCTAGCGAAAGGCAGGAAAGCGGTGACTCGAAGGTGACGCATTTGCGAAAGTGGTCAAGTTAGAGGCTTCGAGTGATTGTAACCAAAGGAGGGGTTTCCATTTTCGGATGATATATATGAGAGGCTTCGTGCGGTTGTAACTGAAAGAGGGGTTTCATCTCGGTTGATTTCAGCTGTCTCTGTGAAGCGTACGGCCAACGACGGGGAGTGCGAGTTGGGAGATGTGGCTTGCCCAACTGCACGCGACTGTGCATAACCGTGCCACTGCATGCGTTGTTCGACCGAGTACCTTTTGCGACTTGTGTGTTTCGTCTCACCCCCTTCCCCCCGCTGGTGCCCCCCGTCCCCCTCCTCCTTCCCCTCCTCCTTCCCCTCCTCCTTCCCCTCCCCCCCCTCCCTCCTCTCTCTCTCTGCAGCACGATGGTGTCTCAACTCATACAGCACGAGCGGATCGAAACCACAGTTGCTAAGGTAGGAGATGAACCATGTCCTGTGACTGGCATAAGAAAGACTGAGCACTGAGCGCGGTAAGAAGGGGGAGCTGGCATTTGGCTGGCTTGCCGAGCTTCTCAAAGCGTTAGAGAACGGATTGATCTTTGTAAAATGTACCTCTGATCTGATCACCTTTGTTGGAGCTTAGGTAAGAGAGCGGATGCAAGACGCAGGTTCCTTTCAGGTAGATGTGGAGCTATGTTTCTGTGAATCTTGTTTTGAGGCGCCTCAAAACTGAGTGCTTTTGAGGCGCCTCAAAACTAGGCAGATGTGGAGCTATATTTCTGTGAAACTTGTTTTGAGGTGCCTCAAAACTAGGCAGATGTGGATTTCTGTTGAATCTTGTTTTGAGGCGCCTCAAAACTAGGCAGATGTGGAGCTATGTTTCTGTGAATCTTGTTTTGAGGTGCCTCAAAACTGAGAGTACTTTTGAGGCGCCTCAAAACTGAGAGTGCTTTTGAGGCGCCTCAAAAGTATATTTCTGTTGAATCTTAAGTCACTGACCTCTGGTCTGTTAACTTCCTGCTTACCTTCCGCCTTCCACCTCTTCCACCTCCCGCCTCTTACCTCCCTTTCCCTTACCCTTTCTGCCGTCCCTCGGTATTCATCCCATCCCATCTCGGTATTCGCCTCAAAAATAGACTCCCCTTTGTATTCACCCCCCGTCTCTCCTCCCGCCTCCACCCTCTCGCCACTACCCTCGTTCCTTTCCCTGTCTCCTCTCTCTGTCATTGACCAGGCTAAGGAGGTCACTTTTGAGTCAACTCAAAAGTCATCTCTGTCATTGACCAGGCTAAGGAACTGATCTCCTGTGGCGGACTGGAGTCTCCTTCCGTCTCTTCCTCCTGCGTGCCCCTCTTCCTCTCACCTACCTCCCCAATCTTTCTTCTCCCATTCCTAGTTTTCTCCTACCCAGGCGAGCTGAGGTCCGTGGCAGATCGAATGGTCACTCCTGCCTGCCTCACTTCCTCCTCTTGCCTTTTCTCCTCTTCCCTTTCTGTCTCCCCTCTCTTCACTCTCCCCTCTCTTCACTCTCCCCTCTCTTCACTCTCCCCTCTCTTCACACTCCCCTCTCTTCAATCTCCCCTCTCTTCACTTTCCCCTCTCTTCACTCTCCCTTCTCTCCACTCTCCCCTCTCTCCACTCTCCCCTCTCTTCACTCTCCCCTCTCTTCACTCCCCCTTCTCTCCACTCTCCCCTCTCTCCACTCTCCCCTCTCTTCACTCTCCCCTCTCTTCACTCCCCCCTCTCTCCACTCTCCCCTCTCCCTTACACAGGCCAAGGAGCTGAGGTCCGTGGCAGATCGAATGGTCACCCTTGCGAAAGAGGTGCGTTCTGGTTACCGCATTACGTACGTGCTCAGCGCCAAAGATGCATGTTATGGCCGTGTTACGCATGTGCTCAGGGCCAAAGACGCGTGTTACGGCTGTGTTACACATGTGCTTAGGGCCAAAGACGTGTGTTACGGCTGTGGTACGCATGTGCTTAGGGCAAAAAACGCGTGTTATGGCTGTGTTACGCATGTGCTTTGGGTGGAAGAGGCATGTTTGGGCTAAAAGGTTGCTCCTGCCTATGAGATGCGCAGATTTCCCGAACTTGCATCACTTGCATTATTCACTTGCATTATTCACTTACGTTATTCACTTACGTTATTCACCGCAATAACTGCTCCATCCCCTGGTTTTCCACCTCCTCCATAACACATTCCCCTTTCCCCTCCCCCTTCCCCTCCCCCTTCCCCTCCCCCTTCCCCTCCCCCTTCCCCTCCCCCTCCCCCGTACACTGTTCTCCGGCAGATCATATTGCAGGGCGTGTTGCAACCATGTAGGGTGGCAGCAGCAGTGGCGCGAGGAACAGATGGGTGTGCTGCAGCCATGCTCTCACCTAGCTTTATTCCCCCCTCCCCCCCCTCCCAACCCTCCCTCCCCACCTCCAACCCTCCTTCCCCACCCACCGGACCGCTCCCCTTCCTCTTGCAGGGCACGCTGCAACCGCGCAGGGTGGCAGCAGCAGTGGTGCGAGGAATAGATGGATGTGCTGCAGCCATGCTCTCACCTATTCTTCACCCCCCACAGCCCCTCCCCATTCCCCCCCCTTTTCCCCACTTTCCTTCCCCCCCCCCCCCCCCCCCCCCCCCCGCTCCTGTCCACTCCCCTTCACTCCTGCAGGGCACGCTGCAGTCGCGGCGGGAGGCAGCAGCAGTCGTGAGAGGGAAGGATGTGCTGCAGAAGCTTTTCTACGATCTATCCGAGAGATACAAGTGAGTGTGATTTTATTGGTTACTGATTGTGACTATAGAGAGACTTGAGTGTGTAGTTGTGTGTAGTGCAAGGGAGGCAGCAGCTATGGTGAGAGGGAAGGATGTGCTGCAGAAGCTGCTCTACGATCTAGCCGTATCTGAGAGATACAAGTGAGTGTGGTACAGGTGATTGCAATTAGAGTGGGAGTGATGCCGGGGAGGGTTTTTTGGGGTGTTGTGTTTTTTAGAATTCTTGGCATCTGCTCTTTTGAACCTACCTAGTACTTCTCGTCTATGTGGCGCTTAGCAGCTTTTGGATGAAACACAAGGTCTCACTGGTGTTCTTTGACTTTTAGAATGCTTAAATCAATGTGCTTGAATCAGTGTGCTTAAATCGGTGTGCTTAAATCAATGTGCTGAATCTTTGCTGGATTTACGAACCAGAATTCCAACTGATTCTCCCCACCCACTGCGCTCTTCTTTCTGTAATACGGGCGATCCCTTGGCAGGGATAGAGCGGGGGGCTACACTAGGGTGCTCCCAACCCGAACACGCGTTGGCGATGCGGCTCCCATGGCTTATATCGAGTACGAATCTCTCGCCCATCCCCGTGCACAAGGGTAACCACAGTAATTGTTGAACATTAGCATCAAGTTCTATGTCAAGGCATTTATTATCAAGTCATAACCCTGTCCTTTCTCTTCTAGTTCTTGTACTGCTTTTATCTCCAATTATTCCTGCCTTACTCTCTGCATCCCTTCCACCCCTCCCAGGTACATTGACCACCCCGGTCACTCACATTCTGTCCCCCTCCCTTATCTTCTTTCCTCCCCCTTCCTGCCTTTCTCTCTGTGTCCCGTCCTTCCCTCCTGCGTTCCTTTCTGCCTTCCTCTCTGTGTTACTCTCTCTGCATTCCCCCCTGTGTTCCTCTCCGTGTCCCGTCCACTCCTCCCAGGTACATTGACCGTCCCTTATCTTCTTTCCCCCCCCTCCCTTATCTTCTTTCCTCCCCCTTCCTGCCTTCCTCTCCGTGTCCCGTCCACCCCTCTCAGGTACATTGACCGCCCGGACGAGCTGCGGCGCAGCCGCCCCCCATCGGTCCCACCGCCTCCCTCCGAGCCCCAGGCCCCTTGGCTGCTCTCCTCCCTCAGAAGACACTGGGCTCCCCCTGCTGCTGTCCCTTCTGCTGCTGATGCTTACGGCTCTGCTGCTGCCAGTGCCGGTGATGCAGAGATTCCCAAAAATAGGCGGTGAAGCCACATAACCCCCTTTCCTGCCCAACCCATTCCTGCTCAACCAATTCCTGCCCACCCCATTCCTGCCCGCCGCATCCTTGCCCGCCCCAAAGGCTCACCACCTTCCTTGCCAACCCCCATCGGCCCCTCCTCCCCTTAGCTGCGCCCCTCCCTCAGAAGGCACTGGGCTCCCCCCTCTGCTGCTGCCTCTCCTGCCTCTGCCTCGCCTGCCTCTTCCTCTCCTGCCTCTGCCTCTCCTGCCTCTGCCTCGCCTGCCTCTTCCTCTCCTGCCTCTGCCTCTCCTGCCTCTGCCTCTCCTGCCTCTGCCTCTCCTGCCCCTTCTACTGCTGCTGCTGATGGCTCTGCTGCTGCCAGCACTGGCAGTCAGTGGAACCAACGTAACCCCCAGCCTTTCCATTCCACCCCCTATCGGCCCCACCACCCCCCTCCAATCCCAAGGCTCCTGCTGCTGCTGCTGCTGCCTGTTGGAAGTACTGGTAGTGTAGCTTTCTAAGTTTCATGTTAGAAGGTGCTATGGTATGGTGCAGTTCAAATTCCTGGCATGGTGGTTCACTTGAACAAATCAGAGTTCATGTATTGTATGGTGTACAGTACATACAACAACCACGTGAGCATAAAGAATCTCACTCACCCTCTTTTTCTCGCATTTAGAAATTACTGTACTACAACCCACGGGGGATCACATTGCACATCTTGCAAAACAGGCTATCTTGGGTTTTCTCTATTTTGTGCACCACTTTGGGACAACTTAAAGGCAGCTCTTACAACCTACATGTAAAAACATATATTTGTATGTTGTTATAGACTACAAAGGGTTGTGCCTTATAGAGTACAACCCACTGGGATATATTCCCATGTATGCCGTGGTTCAACTCATTTCGTTAACTTTGATATGGTATCATGAGCAGGTTAGGCCCCCTCCGCCCACCAGCGCTTCCGCCATAGGTCCTAGCCGCCTCGAAGCCCGTGCCGGCCCCGTCCCCTAGCGGCCCCGCGGCCCAGACACCTAGCGGCCCCGCAGCCCCGTCACCTAGCGGCCCAGCAGCCCCGCGGCCCCGCGGCCCCGTCACCCAGCCCCGCGGCCCAGACACCTAGCGGCCCCGCGGCCCCGTCACCAAGTGGCCCCGCGGCCCCGTCACCTAGCGGCCCTGCGGCCCCGTCACCTAGCGGCCCCGCGGCCCCGTCCCCTAGCGGCCCCGCGGCCCTGTCACGTCGCGGCCCCGCGGCTGCTGAGTAGTGAGGTGACGGCGGAGGTCGACGAGCCACGTGTCGAACTCGACCGGCTGACCCTTCGCGTCAAAGCGCAGCACCGAGTCCGCCATCCAGGCCGCAGCAGCAGCAGCAGCGGCGGGTCGTCCGTCTACCGCCAAGGTGGCCTGGCGCCGGTGGTGATGGTGGTCGTAGTGGTCGTGCGCACAGCGTGTCATCGGGTGGTGGTGCGAGTGACGGGCGCTGCCAGTACCAGCTCCAGACCGGACCTCACCGTGGCCTCGTGTGCGGTAAGATCGGCCATACCCCCACTCGTTGTTTCAGTCGCCTACACGACCTGTTTCGTCTCCGCTTCGGCCCGGCGCCAGACCTCCCCGACTCGCACAATCTGCTCTGCCGAAGTGTTAGGATCTTTGATATAGACATGGACGAGATTAGCTCTCCTTTGTAAGTACTGTATGTCGATTACTCTAGTGTGGCTGGTTCCTATTACCCTTTGTTGCCTAGTGTAGGTGTGCCCAGTGTGCCTAGTTCAGGCTCCCTTGCTGCGTCAGGCATAGGATCCCCTGCTTTGTTTAGCCTTGGCTCCACCCTCGCTCCTCCGACCCCTGCCTCCACTGCCGTGCTCTCCTTCACCCTCGACTCCGGCACTTCCCGGTGTTTCTTTCATGACTCCACTACGCTTACGCCGCTTGCCGCTCCCGCCGCAGTTGCCCTTGCAGACCCTTCCTCAGGTCCTGTGGTCGCCCGTAGCTCTACCACCCTTCCCTGTCCGGCGGTTCCTTCGGGCTTCCTTACATGCCTGCACATCCCTTCGTTCTCTAGAAACCTAGTTGGTTTCGGCTGCCTCCAAGACCTTGGCGTCACCACTACGTTCCCTGGTCACGAGAGGTACGCTGTCTGTACCGAGGCCGCCACTGGTGCCCCCCACACTACGTTCCCCCGGGACCTGGTGTCTGGCCAGTTCATGCTAGACACTGCGTCCCCCTTGGTTGGGACGTCTCCCCAAGTGTCTGCGTCTACCCAGGTTGCTGCGGCTTGCTCGTGTCGGTCGCTTACTCACCCGACGCGTCTGTGGCACCACTGTCTAGGTCATCCTGCCCTCACACGTCTTCGTCACATGTCTCAGCACGGTCTTGTCTTAGGTCTCCCTAAGTCGTTCCCCGCGCTACCCTCCTCACCAGCGCCGCCGTGCACGCCCAGCATCGAGGGCCGGCTCCGCCGTGCCCCTCACTCCTCCTCGTTCCTCCCCACCGCTGCACCACTGCAGACCCTGCACATGGACGTCTGGGGCCCCGCCCCCGTCCATGGGCCGCGTCGAGAGCGCTACTTCCTAGTGCTTGTCGAGGACTACATGCGCTACACCACGGTGTTTCCCCTGGAGCGGAAGGCCGATGTGCCTATCGTTCTTATCCCATGGCTCGTCTCAGCGCGTGTTCACCGAGGTCCCCCTGTGTTGGGTCTTTACTCCGCCGCTGCTGTCGTCGCCGTGGCCGCAGCCGCCGTCGTCACCGCCGCTGGGGTTCGTGCGTTCTGGGGGTGCTGGGGAGCATGCTGGAGCGGGTACTGGAGCAGGTTCCCGTTCTGGGGGTGCGGGCGTGGAGCTTCTCGAAGGGAGCCGTGCTGTCGCTGGAGGTTCTGGTGTTGGAGTCGGGCAGCTGTCGCAGAAGTCGCCGCCGGTGTCCGCTCTTCGCCTCCTCGGACTTCCTTCCCCTGAACGCATGCCGGTGCCTCCTCCGTCGCCGCCGTCTCCTCCTCCACCGGTTTACGGCCTAGTGTTTTGTCCCTCGTACTCCTCTCCGACTCGTTTCCCTCCCCATTCTCCTTCTGTGTCTCCTCCCCTCTCTCCTGACCCGACTCCTCCGTCTCACGTCTGGTCTCGTCGTCCGTCTCGTGCTCGTCCAACCTCCCCTGTTCAGCGGTCTCACCCTATATTGCTTCGCTCCCGTGCGTCTTGTGCTCCTCCGCTCCTCCCGTCTCCTCCCCCGTTCTCTGACTTCTTTCGTGCTGCGCATCCCCTTGTTCCTCGTGTCCTTGCCTCTCTTGTTACCGACCCGTCCGTTCCTGTCTCGAGTCTGTCGGCTCTTGTCGCTGCTGGCACTGACTTTGCCGCTATCCGCCGCCTTGACTACGCCACCGCTCTGGTCTCTGGCCCTGCATGCCCTCCGTCCGTCGGGGGTGTGGCCACCCTAGGCAGTGACGTCCTAGAGGATAGGCAGTACGAACTCACTTTCCTGTCTGAGGCCGCTCCCCATCTTTGTTCCATGCTGCTAGTCCCTGAGGGGGACCCAGACGCCCTTGACATCCTGACCCCTTGCACCTACGCTGAGGCGACCTCGGGACCCTAGGCCTCTCAGTGGATAGCTACCATGGAGCAGGAGATGGCATCTTGGAGATCCACCGGTACCTTCGTCGACGCAGTTCCCCCACCTGGGGTGAACGTAGTCGATGGCCGGTGGCTCTTCAAGGTGAAGCGCCCTCCTGGAGAGCCGCTTGTCTTCAAGGCGCGCTACTTTGCTCGAGGCTTCAGTCAGCGTGAGGGGTTGGACTTCTTTCAGACCTTCGCCCCGACCCCGAAGATGACTACTCTTCGGGCACTACTAGACATAGCAGCACTGCGTGATTACGAGCTGCACACCCTCGACTTCTTTACAACTTTCCTCCAGGGTAGTCTACACAAGCAGGTCTACCTACGCCGCCCCCAGGGCTTCTTCGGTACCTTTCCCCCTGATACCTAGTGGCTCCTCCGGCGCCCCGTCTATGGCTTGCGACAGGCGCCCCGTGAGTGGCACGACACACTGCGTCCTACACTTGCTGACCTGCAGCTCTTCCCGTCGTCTGCAGACCCCTCGCTCTTCGTCCGTTCCGGCCAGACTCCGTTCTACATCCTTGTCTACGTAGACGACCTAGTTTTTGCTACAGCAGACAGAGACGCACTGGCCTCTGTAAAGGCCGAGCTGCTGAGGAGACACACTTGCACTGACCTAGGAGAGTTGCGCCGCTACCTTGGCCTGCAGATCTCCAAGGACAGAGCAGCGTGCACCATCACTCTCACACAGTCACACTTGGTGCGCCAGGTTCTTCAGAGGTTTGGTCTTCAGTTCTCCTCCGCAGAGCCCACACCTCTGCCGATAGATCACAGGCTCTCTACTCCAGTTCTTGAGGAGTCAGTAAAGCTAAATGTTCTTTACGCAGAGCTAGTGGGTTGCCTCATGTACCTAATGACTTGCACTCGTCCAGATCTCGCATGCTGGGCACACAGACGCTTCATGGGGCAGACGACATTGAGACCCTCAGGTCCTCCCAGGGCTACTACTTTAGCCTTGGTTCTGGTGCCATCTCGTGGAGGTCCACTCGTTCCTCGTCTGTTGTCCAGTCTAGCTGTGAGGCTGAGATCTACGCCGGTGCCATGGCGGCACACGAGCTCCGCTGGCTGACCTTTTTGCTCACCGACATAGGTGAGCGGCCAAGCTTTTGTTAGAATACGTGAATGAATTATTAGAGGGGAAACAGGGAACATATAACAGTTGGGTTATACTCACTAAGAGCACACACCGATACTAGCCTATAACTTCTACATGCATGATATGTATAAGTTGACACACCCCCTAGGCTAGAGAAGGGGTGGTGCAAGCAAGAAGCACACAGCTCAGGGTGGCACTACTAGTCCAACCATTGAGGCAGGGGTCCAAAGACCAGTCAGCAAGAGTACAGACAAGACAAAAGCAAGCCAGGGCGGCACTACTAGTCCAACCACTGGAGGTAAGGCCACAAGGCCAATGAGACAGGTATATATAGTAGAGAATACACAATCAGGGTCCTAACAAGTGGGTAGCTACAGGAACAAGACCAAGCTGTACACAGTGCCGCTGATAATCTTTAGGCGCAAGCGCCTTCGTAAAGATATCAGCTGTCTTGGCATCGGAGGCCAAGTGAACTACACGGGCCTGGCGACGCTGCTGTAGCTCTCGCAGGAGGAAGTACCGCAGCTGGATATGCTTCGCTCTGCCCTCAAGCCGAGGCTCCTAAAACAGGAGGATCATGGCCCTATTGTCAGCGTACAAGACCGGGGTAGAGCTAGGCCGCTCACCTAAGTCAGTGAGCAAGAAGGTCAGCCAGCGGAGCTCCTGTGCCACCATGGCACCCGCGTAGATCTCAGCCTCACAGCTGGACTGAGCAACAGACGACGAGCGAGTGGATCTCCAAGAGATAGCACCCGAGCCAAGGCTAAAACAGTAGCCCTAAGTCGACCTGAGCGTCTCAGAGTCGTCTGCCCAAGAAGCGTCTGTGTGCCCTGTGAGGACCACCGGCCTGCGTCCTCCTAGCACTAACCCTATGCCCGATGTACTTGCTAGATATCGCAAAACCCTCTTAGCGGCCGACCAGTGCTGTGGTCGGTGTCTGTCAGTGGCCACAAAGCAAG